TGTCAGGGGGGATGAATGGGAAGGGGGAATCTTAATTTGATTAAGAACCATTGTATGAAATGCACAAAAGCTCAATAAAAATATTTTTTAAAAAGTGGCCCTAAGTAGACCAAGGAAATTGGTACTGTTTATTTATACTGTGGGACAAGAAGGCAGAGGTCACTGTCTTGGTTAGTACTGTCAACCTGACACAGCCTAGAGCATCTGAGGGAAGCTTTAACTGAGGGATTGCCTTGGTTAGATTGGCCTGTGGCATGTCTGTGGGAGATTGTCTTGACTGTTACTTGATGCAGGAGGGCCCAGCTCACTATGGACTGGCTTCATTTCTAGGCAGGTCAGCTGGGCTATACAAGAAAGGTAGCTAAACTTGAACCCATGAGCAAGGCAGCAAACAGTGCTCCCCCGTGATTTCTGCGTTAAATTGAATTCCTGCTTGAGTACCTGCCCCGACGTCCCTCAGTGATGGACCTTGACCAGGACTGTAAGCCAAATAAACCCTTCCTCCCCAAGTTGCTTTTGGTCATAGTGTTCTATCACAACAACACAATGAAACCATTTAGCACATGCCCACAAATAATGGCAAAAGTGCTCTGATTGATGTGAGAGTTGTGAATGCATTTTAGTGAGCAGTGACTTCTTTTGTGTGTGTACATGTGGAGACCAGACGTCAGCCTTGGCTGTTGTTCCCCAGACGCTGTCCACCTTGTGTTTTGAAACAGAATCTCATTGACTTGGAGCTCATGACATAGGCTTGGCTGGCTGGCCCCAGTCCTGAGATTACAAGCATGCACCACCATGCCTGTTTTTGACTTTTTTTTTTTAAAAAAAATGCATGTATTCTGGGGGGTTGAGCTCAGTTTTTGTGCTTGTAAAGTACATACTTTTCTAACTGAGCTATTAACTCAGCCCCAGCAAATAGTAATTAATTCTTCTCCCTTCTCCCCTTTCTTCCATGCAGAGACCCAATCTCATTCACAAAGACACATAACACTTCCTTGGAGGATTTTTTTTTTTGAAAAAGCCAGTAATCTGCATGTTAAGACTGTGTTCATATGGGTACAGCTTTCATTTATTAAACGTTAATTTTCAAACTTTTGGGGGGGGTCTTTTTGAGACAGGGTCTCCCTGTAGCCCCAGCGGTCCTGGAACTCACTATGTAGACCAGGTTGGCCTCGAACTCACAAAGATCTGCCTACCTCTGCCTCCCGAGTGCTGGGATTAAAGGCGTGCACCACCACGCCCAGCAATTTTCAAACTTTTTAGCTGGACATGAACCATAACTGAAGAAGAAGCCTGTCTCTTGTGCCCTTTTCCCATCAGCCTCTGTATCCTTGTTATCAAAGGATAAAGGAAACCTGTGGGTCAAGACTTTGGGCCATGTAGACACCACCAGAGCATGACTCCTGCAGATGGGGCTCCCCACCTTCTCTAGCCCCTCAACTTTCTGCAGAAACACTTCAAAAAGTTCTTAGCCATTTATCTTGGCTGGTGTTTCTATCACTTCACCACAAGAGCTTGTGGGGTCATGTGGACTGTGGCTGGAGGAGCCAACTCTCTGGGAAAGCAACATTGGAGGGTAACCTCTGCCCAATCTGGACCACATAGGGGAACAAAATCAGGAAGATGCAAATGTAGGTTTATCATACTTGAAACCACACAGCCACCCCAATGCAAAGCAGCAGCCCACTCGAGTGCACCTGGGAAGTTTCTTTGCAGCCTTAAGATAAGGAAATTAAGTGCTAGGACTTCATTAAGGAGAAAGATCTCCTCTGGGGGTTAGATTAGTTTTCATAAACAAAGAAGATGAGCCAGCCTACAGGGAGAATCAATCTGTTTAGGGTAGGCAGGGGTAGGCTGGCAAATGATAGAGAAATAATAAAGGAGAGGAAGGGGCCACAGAACTACCAAAACCCCCCTCATTTTGCAACTGATTGCCAGCGACTGCTCTGCCTGGGGCTGTGGGCACTCATAGGCTTTCTATTGTCGGGTCTCACCGTGAGGACATGTGGGGACAGCTTAGGGCCTGAACAAGGAGGAATGGAACCCAGGGCACCCTAGGCCTTAACTACCAAGGTCTGTTTCTTTGGTTTTGTTGGCAGATATGGGGTTGTCCTCTGGAAGGTCATCCTGTGGGGTCTAGGCCCTAGTTTTCCCTGTGCCCCATGCCTGGGTGTCACACTACATAGGCACCTGATCTCCCAAGGGGGAGCCGTGCCTCTCATCCCCCACCCCATTCTGGACTATCAGCATGTACAGAGAAAGTCTCAGAATTTAGAGGCATTTCAGAAAGAAAAGGCTCACCCAAGGCTGCCAGTGTCATTTCAGAAATAGAGACGGCTTGGAATTTGTAAATGCACCTCTTGATCCTTCAAAACTGAATTTGTGTGCTGCATCTTTAGAAGTTGAGAGTGCTGAACACAGATTTTGACCGACTCTCAGCCATCCTCAGTCTCCACAGGAAAGTTCCCAAGCTTGTCTCCACACCCACCCAGACAGACACCATTAACACAAGTCACAAAGGATGCCTGGTGGCCACAGAGTGTGCAACATGTTCTCTTACAAACAAGGAACCAGCTAGCCTAAGTGCCAGCCCCTTTCCAGTCCCTCATGCATTTACATTTTTTGAGATTTATTTTTATGTTTTTAACTATGTGTATGTATGTGTGTGGAGTGGGAATCTGTACGTGGGTGCAAGTGTCCAGAAGAGCTGGATCCTCCAAGAGCTGGAGTTATAGGGCATTGTGAGAAGCTTGATGTGGATGCTGAGACTTGAACTTGGGTCCTCTAGAAGAGCAGTATGTGCTCTTAACCACTGAGCCATCTCTCCAGGCGCCCCCCCCAACGCATTTAATTTTCCAAATCTAAATCATAGGTTTATTCCATGGCCCTACTGACTAGATATTACTAAACAATCTGCAAGTTAAAGGCTATGCCATAGAGAACACGAATGTGCTTATCTCCCTGACAATAGGAAGTCAGAAGAAAGTTTTGGAATGAAAGGAACAGCGACCTAGTCAGGCGCTCTCCGGCCTTCATCCTGAGGATTGTGTGCACTGCGGTTCTCACCTGTACTTCTCACCTCTTACGGTGACTGGCTAAAGCCACCTCCAGAGGCAACACCTTGCAACCAGCAGCCTGTGAACAGTGACAGCCCTCCGCGCCAGAGCTTCTGCACTGTCAGGGCACCAGACCCAGATATGCTTCGAGAAGAGGGGTCCTGAGACCAGCTCAGACGCAGTGAGGCAGCCAAAGGACAGGAAGTCGGTAGGAACACTTCCCCTGGTGATTTTCAATAAGTCTAACACTTGTAAACTTCTGCTAAAAACCAGTGTTTCCTTCCCCAAAGTGATCAAAGAGTAGAGCAGGTTGACCACCTACCCCGCTGGACTGGAGAGTGCAGCGCTGAGCACACCTGAACAGCCCCTTGGCACAGCAGAGACGTGGACAAGATAGGACCATCTAATCCCCCCCCATTTGCTATGACGAGCCTGGGGTAAGAGATGGGCTCTCGGTTCTACTCAGGGCATGGCCTCTGAAGCCCATCTCCTCAGCCTGCCTCATATAGGTGGGTTCACAGGGGTAAAGACTCACGGGGGAATGGTTGTTGAGACAGCTGGCCTTGTGAGTAACTAACACCTGGCAATTGCCAAGGTCACCTCTTGGCAATGTCTCTCTCATACCCTCTTGAGCAAAAGAGATGGGGCCAAGCAGCAGCCAGTGGGTTGAGGCTGGTATTGGGTCTAAGCAGGAATAAGGATAGCTTTCCCACTGAGCAATGTCATCTACTGTGTTGTGGGGCCACCTCTCCCCAAAGTCTCCACTGGCGGAAAACACCCAACCATGGGCTGGGGGGTGTGGCTCAGTGGGTAAAGCATTTGCTGCTCAAGGATAAAGACCTGAGTTCAGATCCCATGTAAGTCCAGGCATGGAATTGCACATCTGTAATCCCAGTGCAAGATGGGAGGTACAGACTGGAGAATCTTAGAAGCTTATGGGTCAGGGAGTCTTATATGCAGCAGTGAACAACAAACAGGAAGATGAGGACTCACATTTGAGGCTGTCCTTTGACCTCCACATGTACACCATGTCATGTGTGCACCAACACACACACACACACAATACACACTCATCTATATGGACATAAATGTACATCTCTCTCATATACACTCACATATACAGGAAAAATATACCAGCAACTGACCAAAGACCAGATATTTCACAGTGGAAATATCTCCTAGCTCTCACTGCCCTCATCTTGGGGCAAAGCACCCAGGGCAGGGGAACAGCAATGTGATGGCATTCCTCTGAAGCCCACCCCAGGCTCCAAAGAATCTTCCTCCCAGAGGATCCCAGCTGGGTGGCCTGGCCCAAGGCCGCAGTGAACAGTTGTGACCGCAGCCAGTAGACTCCGTTTCCGTTCAGGCCATGGGGGCCTGGCTGAAGGCATCAGCTTTCAGGCCTTATTCTGACTTTGCCATTAGCCTACCTCATTAGCACAACCTACACAGGCCCCCAAGAATGGCTGAAAAAGCCAAAACACCCAGTTTCAGCACAGAAGGACGCATGGAGGGGCCTGTGTTAGGAAACCGCCTCTGTTTTGCTGAACGTGTAAAAAACTCATCATCATTTTTTCCCCCTAGCCAATTAAAATATAAGGCGGGAAACTCATGACTGTAAAAATTTCCCGAAACATGTGATGGTCTCCTGAGATTTCCTAACTACCTATGTAAACGCAAGATACAGATTATATCCAATGCTTGGAGAAAGTGGCAAAGATTATGAATGCAGGGGAGAAAGATGGGTTTGTCACATAAGAACTGCAGAGAAGAACCATCATCATCATCAGCTCCACAGTTCAAGACAGGCATATGTAGCATGGGATGGTGTCGCCAGGGAAGCACCCACACTCACACACAGGCAGAGCAGCCCTCCCATGTCCACCCACAGAGAGGCCTGGGTCACCGCTCCTGATACCTCTGATGGCTGCAACTCTCACCTACCTTCTTATCTCACAGGAGCTCTGGGGTCCCAGGCACCAGGTGGCATGGAGCACGGGGCGCGCCAAGCTGGCGGGCTTTGAAATGGGGATGGCTGCCTGGGAGAGAAAGCAGAAGAGAAGCAAGCGAGGGTTTCTTGCTGTAGGTTGGTGTTGGTAACTAGGGAAGTGGCTTTTCCTCAAAGTGTCAGCAAGCAAGACAGCCCAGAAAGCAGAAGTGAGAGGGCCCCAGTGGGAACGGCTGCTTGTTAATTTCATGTTCAAATTAATTAATTCATGTTAGCCTGGGAGGACATGGATTCCACCCAAACATCAACTCGGGCGGCCAGTGGTGCCTGGTGAGAGGGGCTTCTGTTCACCAGGTAGGACATGCCCTTTCCTACGTGTCCTGGTGAAGCATGTACACCAAATTTAGGGTGTATCAAATTTTCTTCTCTCTCTTTTTTTCGTTTACCATGTCTGAAGATTTAATAATTCTGTTGAGAATTTTAAAGGCTCAAAGTGGGTTTTGTTGATTTTTGTCTATTTTCTCTTTTTTATTTTAAAGAGTTCCATGTTATTTCTGTTCATCTTTTCATTTAATTTGCTCTAATTTCATGTAGTTTTATCACTTGAGATTATAGATGATTTACTTTATGTATTTCTTTAATCTGTCATTATGGCTTGAGTGTGTCAAAGGTTGGGGTTCTGGAAGCTTGGTTTCTTATGTGAAATCTGAGGTGGCAGACCTTTAACATGGAGGGGCTAGAGTGAGGGACCTAGTTCACTGGGGCACCACGTTTGGAGAAGATGAATGGCTGTCTCAGGAGTGAAGTAGGTCTCAAGGAATGGGTTGGTTATTCTGAGAGTGGATTGTCATAAAGCAAGGTCATTTCTGCCTTTGGTCCCCTCTGCAGGCACTATCACATCACATTCTTCTACCATGTGGGACCACCTGCTGTGATTGCACGGAACCTGAGGCCCTTGCCAGATGAAGCTGCTTGAACTTAGATTTTTCAGTCCACAAACTGTCAGCCAAACTAAATTTCTTTTCTTCATAAAGTACTTTTTCCAAGGCATTTTGTTATAGCAATGGACTAGGGTATATGTGCACTTAGGGCTAGGAATTTCCCTCTAAGCACTATTTTGGCTACATCCTCAAAACATTATAAATTGTATTTTCATTTTTATGCTGCTCAAAATATCTGGGGGAGTTCTTCTGAGACTTCTTCTTTGAGTCACAGGTTATACAGACATACACTCCAGTTTTCAACTGTCTTTTTGTTTTTGATATGTAGTTTAATTTTGTTGTGTTCTAAAAATAATTCACATGGCTTTTTAAAATGTAAACTTCTTAACCCGTTTTCTGAGAATGTACTTTATTTTGGTAAATACCCCACATGAACTTGAGAAGAACCAGTCTTCTGTTAGAAGACTGGACACTCTATAAACATCAGGTTGGTTGGCAGTGCTGCTCAGGCCTTTGTCCTTATTGGTTTTCTCTTTGGTCTATCAGTTACAGATAGAGAGAAATTGAAGTATTCAGTCAAAACTGGATTTGTCTGGTTCCCTTTTTGGTTTTGTCAGGGTTTTACCTTATGTGTTTTTATGCCCTGTTGACCTGTGCATACGTGTTAAGGATTGCAATGCCTCCTTAGATGTCTGACCCTTTTATTATGCAACAATTTCCATGAAGCACTCTTCACTGTAGAGGTCTGTTTCCTGGAGGTGATTCCAAGAGTGAGAACACTGGAATATGAAGAATTCACTTGGAAATTTCCAGCTCGAGTACAGTTCTGACAACATGTTATGGGGAAGGCTCTGGGTGTCTTTTATAATTATTACTCCCCTGATTTCCTGGCTAAAGCCATGAGAATCTTTTTCAGATCTTAGCCATAGAAACCTATTGAGGTATGTATTAACCACAGCTTTCTGCTGTCTACATCTAAACATAAGTCTTTATGCTAAGCGAGGGCTGTACCACTGAGCAATTGTTAAGCTGTCTAGGTTGGTCTTGAACTTGCTCTATACCCCATACTGACCATGAACCTGTGATTCTCTTGCCTTGGCCTTCTGAGTGCCGGGATTGTAGATATGTGCCACCATAATGGCACATATGGAAGCCAGACACCAGCACTGATGGAAACTCTAATGTTAAGTTTGATGCTTGTTGGAGACTGCCTGGGACTAATTGGAAGATGAGAGAAGCCATTATGTGTGCTACTCTGGACATCTCCACCTCCAGGGGCATTATTTAAAGACTACCCAGCATGTTTTAATAAGCTATGGCAGGATCTTAAACCTGGACTGCCACAGGGAGGTCATCTTTGCTCACAGATCCCCAGGAACAAATGGCAGGAGGCAGAGGGAATGAGGAATGGGCACGGTGAGAGCCTCTCCTGTGGTTTCCACAAGAAAAGCAGTAAGGTGGGGCAGGGCAGGGCAGCATGAGGCTGGTGGTTTTGGAAGATGCCGTTCCATCTCTAATACTGAAAAAGAATCTGTTAGATTGGAACATATCCTGGGCCTCTCTATGATCTACCTAAAGATGGGGAGCCAACTGGGGGGTCTAGGTAATTATGTCAGAAAAATGAAAGGAGAGAAACAGTAACAAAAACAACGGCAGAAAAGGAGCAGCACCCACAGGGCAGCTAACAATGTCTGCAACTCTAGTTCTAGTGGATCCCACACTGTCTTCTGGCCTCCATAGGCATCGCATACATGGGTGCACTTACATACATACAGGCAAAACACTCACACACAAAACAAAAGTAAATAAAAAACATAAAAAACCAGTAACAGCAGCTTAAATGAGAAGTACCTAAGTTAGGGAGAGGGGCATCAAAGAGCATTATGGATTGTTGCGGGTTCTCCTCAGGCCAGCTGTGAAGACCCTGACCTGGATCGGGTCCCCTGCCGACTGGGGGGGCAAGAGGCACGGAGTCAACATACAGACCCCGGGAGTCGGGTAGAAGCAAGCACTAGGTGAGGTACTGCAGGCTCATTTAATGCAGGAGGGGGCAGGCCTTATATTTCCCTTTTTTCCACCCCCAAGTCCCTTTAGTCAGCATATCGTTTTCTGATTGGTCTGCGCCACGCAGTCTGTCAGCAGTCACTGGGCTCGCAAGGAGGGTATGGAGGCATGGGTTCCTTTTGGAGGGCTATTTGCGGATCAAGAAGTGAAGTGAATTCTCACTGAATCCCAGGGCTCTGAGTCCGTGCCATCTTTGGAGGCCTCCTGCTACAGTGGATCAGCTGGCTAAGATGCAGGGGGTGAAGACAAGAGAGGAAGCTGCAACTCTTTACACAACAGAGCAAGCAGAGGCGGAGGCTTGAGAAAAAGGAGATGGAATCAATGAGTCCAGAAACCAAAGGAAAATATTAGAAAGACAAACAAGATCTAAGAAATGCAACCCTGCTATCCTGGTAGTGCAGAGTTTAAATAAAGGGGTGGGAAACATGTTTACGTTAGAAGTCCAATCTTCAGAAATAAAAGCAGCCTTGTCTGAAGGGTTCAAAGAACATCTTACCCTGAAGACTCCAGATAAAAGTAATTACTCAACTTTAGCTGAAAATAGAACTACCAATCCCACTTCTGGGTTGGCATTGTCTGCATCCCAGGACTTTGAAATCTGTATGTTGAAGAGACACTTGCTCTCTCATGTTTATTATTTACTGAAATACTACTCATAATAACCAAGAGGCAGAACCAACTTAAGGGCCCACCAATGGAGAGATGAGTGGGCAAGGACAGTGTGGTAGGCATATATAGTAAAGTACTATGCAGAGGGGAAAATGAGGCACATTTGTCATTTAAAATAACAAATGTATAGATCTGGATAACATGAAATGAGTCAGGCACAGAAAGACAGATACCACATTTTCACTTACATGTTGTGTATTAGTTACTTTTCTGTTGCTGAAATAAAACAACCTGACCAAGGCAACTTATAGAAAGAAGAGTTTATTTGGGCTTATGGTTCCAGAAGGAAAAGAGTCCATCAGGGCTGAGAGGCATGGCAGAGAGCTGAAGGCTGAATGCTCCCATCTCCAACCCAACCACTCACAGGAAGCAGAGAGCACCTGGGCGTCGGGCAAGACTACAGACTCTCAAAACCCTCCCCCTGGTGACTTGTTTTCCCCATCGAGGTCATACCCCCTGAGGTTCCATGACCTTCCCCAACAGTGCCACCATCTGACCAAGTGTTCAAATACTTGAGCCTATGAGGGACATTCTCATTCAAACCACCACATGTAGTATGGCGTTTTCCTCAAAATTGAAAGGTTCCTTCCCAGAGAGAGGCTCCTACTCACTAAGGGAGACTAGGAAACTCAGAAAGTTATGAGTCACAAGGCTGCTCTGCTCCCTGAGGTCATACAAACAGTAAACAACTGCTGCTGGAAAGGAGACTCTTCAGTGGGGCTGCCTACAAGTTGTGCCGGAAGCTCCAGGGATGCAGGTTTTGTGAGTTACCACTCATGCTGGGGTGGTCTTTTCAGTGATATGGCTGCCCTTGAGTTGCCCCCTGCTCCTGTAAGAACTCCAATAAACTCACTGGCTCACCAAACTGGACCTGGGTAGAATCATTTACTTGGTTTGAATAGTTTCTTTAGGGTGAAAAGACATTTGTTCACATTGCCTTGGGAAAGGCCATACAACAGAAGTTTAAAACAGTACACTCTCAGAGCCAGAGAATAGATTGATGGTTACTAGGGCCTGGGGGAAGGGATGATGGTCAGAGAGCATCACTGTGGCCAGATAGAGGACGATATGATGAGTCTTAAGTTTTGGATAGGTTAATTAACTTAGTCCAGTCACTCCAATCTGCTTAGATACAGCAGGGCACTGCAGGGTACCCCCCTCATATATTATCATAACATGTCACTTTTAAAATATTGCCAAGCCTTAGGTCTCTTCCTTGGCCAGACTTCAAGTCAAGATGCCCCAGGCCTAGGAGACACAGCAAGGTCCACATGAGTCTTGTAAAGTGGTCTATCCAAGAATGAGAAGGACAAGGAGGGCCACTTACATGGTAAACAACAGCTTACAAGGCACTGGTATTTCTTAGAAACTCAGAGACACCCATATTGCCCAGTGT